AAGTGCAGTTTTCAAGTCAATTTCAACGTCATGGCTGTCATCGAACTGTCAACTGTCAAGTTGTCAAATATATTTAATCAATGTCTGTCATCCAACTCTATGACTGTCAATCTTATGTCATTGTTTTAGTGTGCAACCATAATAAGACTGTGCACTTGTGACAAGTACTTGTACAAGTAGTCTAATATATTTAATCAGTGATGCATGTCTTTGTTTCCATTAAAATACACAAATTTTGAGAATCCAATTAAAACAAGTGCAGTTTTCAAGTCAATTTCAACGTCATGGCTGTCATCGAACTGTCAACTTGTGCAAGTTGTCAAATATATTTAATCAATGTCTCATCTCTAGAGCACATTCATTTTTATGTGACAAATAACTGTATTGACAAGTACTTGTACAAGTAGTCAAATATATTTAATCAGTGATGATGTCTTTGTTTCCATTAAAATACACAAATTTTGAGAATCTTATGTCATTGTTTTAGTGTGCAACCATAATAAGACTGTGCAGTTGTGACAAGTACTTGTACAAGTAGTCTAATATATTTAATCAGTGATGCATGTCTTTGTTTCCATTAAAATACACAAATTTTGAGAATCCAATTAAAACAAGTGCAGTTCTCAAATCAATTTCAACGTCATGGCTGTCATCGAACTGTCAACTGTCAACACAATTTTTGACAATTCAATAGAAACATCGAACTCTATGACTGTCTTTGAGAATCTTATGTCATTTTTTTAGTGTGTAACCATATTAAGACTGTGCAGTTGTGACAAGTACTTGCATAAGTAGTCTAATATATTTAATCAATGATGCATGTCTTTGTTTCCATTAAAATACACAAATTTTGAGAATCCAATTAAAACAAGTGCTGTTCTCAATTGAATTTCGACGTCATGGCTGTCATTGAACTGTCAACTTGTGCAAGTTGTCAAATATATTTAATCAATGTCTGTCATCCAACTCTATGACTGTCAATCTTATGTCTTTGTTTTAGTGTGCAACCATAATAAGACTGTGCACTTGTGACAAGTACTTGTACAAGTTGTCAAATATATTTAATCAATGATGTGTGTGTGTTTGTTTCAGGTGGAATTGAGAATCCTAGGTCCTCGGTGATAGGTCTTTTCCGAAGGGAGAGTACCGGTTCAGCGCATATGAGCAGTTGCGAGTCGTCGCCACAGAGGGAGCGACGCGGTTCGACCGGTCCGAACGCTGTACTTCTGATCGAAGAGGGCGGAGGTGGAGGCGCCGGGCTCGATCCGCTCGGGGCGGTTCCCAAGCTGGGCGCGATCCCGCCGCCCCCGCAGACGCCATCCGGACAACGCAGAGCGCCCCGACGTGGCTCGATGCTCGAGCTAAGCGGGTGTGTTGATGATGATGATGATCATGCTGATGATAACACTAGTACACGATGACCAATGTAAGAAGGTTTGATATGCTCGCTTCGTGTGCTCGTCCACAAATTTAATAATGTTTATATACCAAAAAAAAAAAATAATAATAAAT